CCAGCGGCCCTGGAGCCGGGCCCCGCGCGGCGGTGGCAGAAGGTGCTGTACGAGCGACAGCCCTTCCCCGATAACTACGTGGACCAGCGGTTCCTGGAGGAGCTGCGGAAGAACGTGCACGCCCGGCAGTACCGCTACTGGGCCGTCGTCTTCCAGTCGGGAGCGGTGGTGCAGCAGCTGTGCAGCGTCTGCGTCTTCGTGCTCACCTGGTGGTACATGGACGCCGGGCTGCTGAGCCCGCAGGGGCTCTTTGGGGCGGCCCTGGTGTCCTCGCTGCTCGGCTACGTCCTGTTCGACGCCGTGGACGGCGGGGCTGGGCGGTGGGAGAGCGGGCGGACGCGCTGGGCTGACCTCAAGAGCACGCTGGTGTTCGCCGCCTTCACCTACGGCTTCTCGCCCGTGCTGAAGACACTGACCGAGTCCATCAGCACGGACACCATCTACGCCATGTCGGCCCTCATGCTCCTGGGCCACCTCATCTTCTTCGACTATGGCGCCAACGCCGCCATCGTGTCCAGCACGCTGTCCCTCAACATGGCCATCTTCGCCTCGGTGTGCCTGGCCTCGCGCCTTCCCCGTGCCCTCCACGCCTTCGTCATGGTCACCTTTGCCATGCAGATCTTCGCCCTCTGGCCCATGCTGCAGAAGAAGCTGAAGGCCCGGACGCCCCAGTGCTACGTGGGGGTGACGGTGCTGTTCGCGCTGGCGGCGCTGGCAGGACTGGCCACCATCTCCAGCGTGGGTGCCGTGCTCTTCGCCTCGCTGCTGCTCACCATCTCCTGCATCTGCCCCTACTGCCTCATCCGCCTCCAGCTGCTCAAGGACAACATCCACGGGCCATGGGATGAGGCTGAAATCAAGGAGGACCTCTCCAGGTTCCTCATGTAGGCCTGGCCTGGAGGGACCCTCTGCTGTGAGCAGTACAAAGGTCCTTGCTGGGGGACAGCTGTGGGCAGGAGAACACCTGACCCAATAAAGCCTCTCACACAGCAGCAAGGACCATGTTTATGTTCCCTTCAGCATCTGTTTCCAAACCTGACTTGCTTGGGTTTGGTGAGGAAAGGAGCTGAGCCTCGCAGAGCAGCTGGTCCCTGCAGCAGTTCAGGGTGAAGATGAGCAGGGTGGTGTCTGCTCTGGTCATGCAGACCCATACCTGAATTTGGGGGTGGGGGAACAGGGGGATGTGCATCCCCTGAGCAGAAACACCACTTGGAAACGCACATCTGGCTCAGATGTGCCCCACAGGCCCCCAGTGTGTGCACTGCGGACTTACAGCACTTCCCCAGGGGGCTGGAGGGGAAGGGGCTGGTGAGGGTCACTGCGGGCAGGGTGGAGGTGCAGGGTGGTGGGTGCTGAGGGACCTGCAGGACTGAGCACAAGGGCACCTGGGATGGGTGTGGTGCACAGCCCTGCTCACCTGCACCCCGACAGTCACTGGTGCCAGAATAGCCTCATGACACTGCCAGATACCACACTATCCTAAATCCTTTGGGAGAGGAGGGGATGAGAGGGCATGATGCCTTCCTCTCTTCTCTTTTTCCAGAGGCTAATGAGGCCTCGCTGCAGGGCCAAACCCTGATCCAGAGGGATGGAGCTCAGCACAGACCCCCATGGGTGCAATCCCAGCTGGTGAGATGCCACGCTGCTGGGACAGCGGGGGAGGTCTAACAAGATCTCGTCTGGCACCGTCTGTCAGGTGTCCGTCTGTCTGTCACCGCTCACACCGCAACAGAGGGCGCTCCTGGCAAACAAGTCTCACTGGAGGCCAGGCCAGGACAGCCGGACCCCGTGCCGGGAGGGCCTCCCAGGCACTTTCGCTTTCCCTGCTCCCATCCGGCACCTTCCCTCGGCAGCCCCAGCCCCCTGGAGCAAAACCTTCCTGAGCCAGCACTGCCAGAGGGAAGGGATGCCCATACTGTGCCCCAGCCTCATTGCACAGGGATACGTTTGGTATCACCCGGGTTTTTACGAAATTCTTCTCTTTTGGAAACCCAGCACTGCAGAAGTGCAACTTTCTGCTCGATTTACCCCAGCCCTGCGAGCACCAGGGGCTCATCCTATGGAGCAGGCGCTTGCCGCGTTCCTCGGGTTTTCTCGGAAATGAGCAACCCCCGGAGGAGTCCCCAACACCTCCAGTGCTTTGTTACAGCTCCTGCCAAGTGTTAAATGTTGCTGTTGTCGTCATGGTGACAACTACATCTCATTTTAGTTTTAATTAAAACCTGAAGCAGTTTGGAGCCCGTGCTCTGGTCTCACAGGGAACACAGAGTAGCCAGATGTCAGAGTCAAAATGACATTTTTTAGGTCTTTGGAAAGGAGACTGGGTTTTTTTCACAGGGAGCTTTCCCAGATTGCTGCTCAGTGACCAGCATGCCCCATTTGACCCCGGGATAATGCCAGTGTAATGCTGGCATCCAAAGCTGATTCACAGAGCCCACTGATAGGACACAGCTTGAGTGTAAATTAAAACTCAAATCTCACCTGCCTGGCCCCTGTCTATCACTGCAGAGGCTTCAAGAAAGCAGAGTTTCTGCTGCACCCATTCCCTCAAGGATAAATATTTCCTCAAAAATACTTTTCCCAAATTCACATTCTAAAACCAGCTCTGGGTTAGGAAAAGCAAACCTTGACCACCCAGACATTCCAGGTGAAGATGGGCACAGGCTGCCATCACCTCAGCTAGAGCAGGAACCCAGTGGATCACCTGTGCAGATCCCTGGGCTTTGACTGATGCAGCAGGCCCCATCCACCCAGCTCTAGGTGGATGCAGGCTGTGTCCCATCCAGCCCAGCCCACCACAGACAGATTCATCCCTGCCCACAGCCAAAGGCCTCTCTGCTCTGCCCAGCTCCTTCCCTTCATCTCCTCCTTACAATCAGTCACAGAATTCTCAGATTAGACTAGCAGAGCCTCAGTGCTCGCCCAGAGATCGGCAGGGAAAGGCTTAGCCCTCCCCCTTGCTTGCCCACACAAATACCCTGCTCTCCCTAAGCTGGGGATGAAAATATAAATCCAGTCCATGGCCTCGATGCACAGAGGAACACTGAAAGAGGAAAAAATGTGAGAGAGCCAGGGAGAGGAGAGGAGGAGACACAAAGGCCAGGCAGGGTTTCCCTGGGACTTCCCTGACCTTCTCCTGAGGACACATGCTCTGCAGTGCTGCTTAAGTTATTTAAGCTGCTGCATAAATGGCCATTATGGGTTTGTCTACATGCCTGAGGTCAGAGTATTCTCTACACAACAAAATTTTGCCATAACTCTATGCCCATCCAGTAAGGCTGGATGCCCTTTGGGCATTTGCTACCTGAGCAAAGCATTCTCTGACAAAGCCCACACTGAGACCAAAAAAAAATAGGTCCTCGGTTCATGATGCAACCAATGCATGGTAAGGAGTTAAATGTTGTTTTGCATTACAAGGAAGTTTCTTTCCCTTAAGTTTCTGAGTCCACTGAGATCAGTCCTTCAGTGGGACATTGCATTTGATTTGAAGCTGGCCAAACGTGTGTAACTGAAGTGGCTGGGGATAAGCCTCGCTCCTGGGGGAGCCGCTGACACGTGCAGTCTGTAATCCTCATCTACAGCCTCTGCTGCAGGGAAAGGCAAGTGTCAGCCACCCACACCGTGCTGTCAGGGGGCCATGTCCCTCCCCATGCGGGAGACTGGATCTGAGAAGCCTGGAAAGAGCAAAGCTTTAGTCCTTGAAGGTAAGATCCTTGTATCTCTTCAATTCCCACAGCAATCACTCAGTTGTTTTCAACTTTGTGATGTGAGAGGCAACAGCAACAACATGAATCATCAGGAAACCAAAACAGGATTCTGGTCCTAACCCACTCCCTGAAAAGCAGCCTTGGACACATAATGGCACCAGCTGGTGCAGCACCCTTCTCCTCCTCTACCTAGCCACAGAGCAAACACCAGTGAGAGCTGGAAACAGCACAGACAAGGTTAAACAGCTTCTTCAAAAAGTCTCTCCATGAGCTGATGCTAAAGAAGACTCCAGGGTTTCCCAGTACACCAGTACCTATGTCTTTCTACTTAGGATATTTTAGAAATGGCCACCAGCAACCCATAAAGTTTGGAGTCCTATTTTCAACAATATTTTTTTATCAAATATTTCCTAAGAAGGTAAAGATCTGTGCCAAGGGTTTACCACCATAAAATGTCCTAAGAAACAAGTTTGTGCCTTCCGGCCTAATGCCTGGAGGCCCTCTGGCAGCCGGGTGCTGTAGGCAAGGCCATTCAGCTAAAATATCATCTACCTTTTATTCATTGTTGGTTCATCTGTTGGTACCATGTCACACCCCAGAAGGAATACAGTGAGAACTTCCCCCAGTGCAGAACAGACTTTTAAACAAGCTGGAAAAAAAGCAGCTTGTGAAGTTCAGCCTGTTCCCATTCCCTCTTACCTGAAAGGTGAAGCATGGGCAGAACCTCCTCAGGAGCTTGCTGGGTACAAACACTGTTGCTTCTGTAGTAGTTCCCCAAAGTACACAATTCCTGAACTCTGCTGAGGTGCTTTTTGCCTCTCACCACCAACTCCCCACTACCCAGAAACATCTTTTTTGTGCTCCTGAAACAAAGGCTGGACTCTGATGCCCAGAGGTGCTTCCAGTCCCTACCTGTGCAGTGCCTCCTGATTTACCTCTGTGGTTTCTGAAATATCCCTTGTTTCTTTTCCTGTGAGAAAAAAAGTCAGTAAAACCCATCAGTTTTCCCTTTTCTTTCCAGCCTTACTCTCCCATATACTTCTCTGGCACCCTAAACAAGCACATCTCCTAAATGTTAAATCCCTGATTTTATCTTTCCCATAGACAGACACATTTGGAACCCCAGAGGTAGCTACTTACAGCTGTTTGAGCTCAGATGCTCCAGTGAGGGCAGCTTGCAAGGAATTCAGAGGTTTAGCTTGAAAAAAATGCTCAGAGCAGCTGCACTTTATTTATAACTGTGGAGATTCATCCGTCTAGAGACTGTTGCAATCTCCTCCTTTGAGTTTCTGCTCAGCCAGGTGCTGCTGCTGGTGTGTTAGACATGTTTTAGGACCCTGTTGGCTATTCTTCCTGCTAATGCTAAGCCAAAGCCATTTCTATGAAGCAATCCTGGTGGCTAATGAATTCAGAAGCAGTGCTGGAATCCCAGCAGAATGTCCGTCCCTCCATCCACCACCTTGGAGGGTGGGAGCCTCCACAGAGGCCAGGCAATTTCTTCCACAAGGTGTGAATGGCTCCATTTGAGAAAGAGTGGGTAGATCCTTGAGTGTAAAACCACCACACATTCCTTTTGTAGTCAGAATTTTATTTGCTTTACATCCAGGCTTATCATTGACATCCGAAAATAAAATCTTTCATTTACAAGTAGGCTAGTGCAAATTAAAGGTAATTTTGGACAAAAAAAAAATAAAAAAAGACCTTGCATGTAACACAAAAGAAATGTGTGTGTTAGGATGATCTTCCTGGAACAGCTCGTGGAGGTCGCCTAGGAAAAAAACAAAAAATAACCCAAAATTCACAGAGGGGAGAGATTTAAAACAAAAGGTCAAGATATAATAAAAATACTCATACACAAAATTATCTTAATTAAATGAGTTAAGAGAAAAAGGCACAGAACATGTATATTAAAGAAAAGAGCAAGAGTGAGATTAGAATCAGCTGGCCATCAGCACAGCCTCAGCTTTCATCCTCACCACTTCCCATCTGACTTGCTGGCGCCAGAGAACTGGGACAATCACATCACAGGTGTGGAGGTCGCTGGTCACAGGCTTTCTAATTTTCTTGCAGCAAATAATATCCTCTGGAAGAGCTCTTCCCCAGCCAGCTTTAAAATTCTCACCACTATCTGCTTCAAACACTGTTCTTGCAGTAGAGATTCTGATGAAATGGGGAATGATCAAACAGGATGGCCTGCAGGGTGGATTGGGGTATCTGGAGGGGACGTTGCTGGGAAAAGTTAAAAATGTGGGTGATGGCACCTGCCAAGCATAGCAGGAGACCCTTGGCAGCAATGGCCCAGTGAAGTGGTTGGAGAGGAGCAGACGCTCCTCCTGTTACCCAGCACAAAGGACTCAGCTCTGACCAAAGCTGAACCAAACTCCAAATGCCTGTAACCAAACTCCTGTGGGGTACGTAAGGTACTCAGCCAGAGGGGACACGTGTGACGCTGCTGTTCACTGAGGGGGAGTGCACACACTGCCCTCAGGAACAGCCACTGATGACACACCTCCAAACATTACAGCAACCAAGGGAATACAACGAGGGTGTTCCTGCTTTGCTCATCCCACCTTTTGCTCCCTACTTTCCCAAAACCTAAGGACCAACTCAGCGACTGCAGTGCTCCCACAGGAAGCTGTTGTGCCATAGAGACCATCTCCAAGCACCGACTGCAGCTACTTGGCTCATACTGATCTGAAGGAGGAACTGAGTAATCAAGACATCTGCACATTCATACACAACCACTTTAGGGGGAAATCCCTTCCAGACATAACACATACACAGGCACATTTTAACTCCAGCTCCCACTCTGGAGGACTCAGTCTAGCCTTCTGCTTAGCTCTGAATCTCCCCAAAACGTGCTTTCCCCAGCAATGAAGTGAATCCCAGGTACTGCTTGAAAAACATTCATCCATTTCCCAGCAAAACATCTCTGCAGCACTCCAAGCCCCTTGCAAGGGAACAGGCTGAATGTTTCCCAAAGGGTTACATCTTCCCTGTCTCCCCTTTAATGACATCTCCAGTGATCCAGATGCAACACACATCTCTGATAAATCCTCCCTGCAGTCCCGACCCAGGCAGAGTGTGGAATGCTGAGATGATGGTGCGAGAGACAGAAGACCACTCATGCACATCCAGAAAGTAATAATAAAAGCCCATCAAGAATTACAGTTTATTTCAGGTTCAGAAATGCAGCAGAACATTTTTACAGCAGGTGCATGTGATGCTCAGTAATGACCATGGTTTCGGGAATCGACTGGCTGTGCTCAAAGGTCAACACCAGGAACCATTTACAGATTATGAAACCAAAGGCAGATGTTTTGTCTCATATGAAGTAGGGCATTAACACACAGAGCATAAAAATCAGAAAGAAATTAAGCGTTTGCTTCTTACAAAAAGAAGTCATCGTTTACCCCGTCCTGGAAAAGTAAAGAGACAGCAGTAAAGCAAACGGCCGGCAAGACGGGACAAATCATAGATCAAGCAAGAGTGGAGGACTGTCTGGACGGGAGGAGCCATCGGTATCAGCTCGCCTGCAGACAAAGCAAGAGGAAAGACAGGCAGAGTAACATTCATTTACACAAGGGAGCTGTTCTACTGGAGCCCCAGGAGGATGTTCAGTGGCACAGTGGGAGGAGCTGTGCTGCAGGGGCACCAGCAGGCTGGATGCCTTCTGGTGGCACAGGAGCAAAGTAGGTCTGCCCTCAATTCAGGAGGTTTGGACTATTTTAAGACAGAAAGACAGAACTAGCCAGTAATCTCCATATGCTATGTGCATCATGGTTAGTGTAGCTGTCTGCAACAGAGAGGATAATATTTTCTATGTTATGCTTTAACATGAAATGCCATAATGTATAATAATGTATCTCCTTTAATATAATAAATAATCTACTTTTACAAGGCTTGCTCAGAAAGTGCAACAAGATCAGCAATAAAATAAACACACATTAACTATGTACATAAACCTTTTTGTGGAACATACAATCTTTTTAACCCTAACATGAGATCCCTTGAGCTCCAAGGCCGAGAGCTATTTATGGCATTCACAAGCTCCTCAGCTGTTGGTCAGCCATGGCAAGGTGAGGTGGAACATGTTTTCTATGCACAGACCCAGGCTGAGCCTAATTGCAATACTAGAAGAGCACCCTCCTGAAATTTAACAACTACGTCACCCAGATCATTATTATGTACCTCACATAAGATCAGAAACGTCGCTGTTGCTTAATTAGTGCTCCACTCCTCCCTGACAGTCTTCTGAGCTTTGCCAGAGGGAATCAAAGAAAGGGAGAGCAACCTGCCTTTTCTCTGATAGAGAGTTCAGACCTGGCTCATCCTGGGTAAGTGGGTCTGCAGAGGGGGCAATGGCCAGTGTGAGAAGCCAGTCCCTCTAGCAGATCCACAAGGTGCTCATCCTGCTGTCCTTTGGGCAGGGAGGGAGTTGCTGCCAAGGCTGCTCCTCTGAGAACAAGGGACAGGACTGGCACGACTCGTCAGCTTCAGGAGTGAGCGGGACAAACAAACCCATTCCAGGCACTGCAGAGCAGGAGGAAGTGGGCCAAGGTTGGAGGACAGTACTTACTCAATTGGATGTGGCAATTTCTTGAGAAGCTCTTAGTGTTTTTCCTAGAAACAATTCTACATAGTTTATTCTGAAAAGCATATACGCAAGAAGAGGTGAAATTATTGAACTCTGGATCTGTGCTCACAGTTATTTATTAACCTGCACACCTAAAAGTGTTGCATTTAGGGCACAGGGCCAGATTTAGATGTGATCTGGATGAGGATGCAGAGGAAGGAGGGCTGTGCAGCTGTGTCCCACGACCTCGGCATCGAGCACAGAAGCAGATGGTGCTGGCGCCTCACTGCCTCCTCCTCCTCTTTTGGGTAAATCCACCCTTGAGAGCTTCATTTACAATTCTGCTGAGAAATACAGTTTCTTGGGGGGCAGAGTTAAGGACAGTGCTGAATTGTGCTACCTACTTCCTTATGCTTGGCAGAAACAGTCATTAAAGTAAATTAAGGAGTCTCAAGTACAGAGAATTTAAAAACATGTTTTTAGGCCAGGATCTCTGTCATCTAATTGAGGCATTACCACCCTCGAGTTCTGTGTAGCCACACTGGTCTGAATCACCTCCTAGAGGTGATGTCTCTTCCCACTGACCAAAGGGGACCTTGGACAACAAAGCTGAGTGTACGGGGTATGGTGGGATAAACCCAGACCACGGTCTTGCATCCACAGCATGGATTGAGCTGGAGGAGACCTTAAAGTTCATCTTGTTCCAGCCGCCCTGCCATGGGGGAACACCTTCCACCAGACCAGGTCGCTCAGAACCCCATCCAGCCTAGTCATGAACATTTCTATCACTGAATGAATATAAAAATTTGGGATTAAAGTCACTTTCTGTGGCTGAGGCACTATGCTTGGCTTTCTATCAGCAGGCAGCTGCCAGTCAGTAACAGAGATCTGATAAACTACATACAGGTTTGCTTGCAAGGCAGCAGCATGGACTGCTATGGCTATTTATAAAAATATATCCAACAGATGCATTACAGGTTACAGCAGAGAACACTGAGCAGTGGAAAACTGTGTAGAACACAAGAAAAATCATAAAAATATATGTTTTCTTTTTTGTAGTAAAAATCACTATGACTGTAGTTGTGTTTGTAACCTTCTTCTTCCTTGAAAGCTGATTCTGTGCACTTGGTGTTGGAGATCTGAGCCTGTTCCCCAAACAAACACCAGCCACTTAAGCAATTTCTGAGATCACCAAGATGCTGGTGCTCTGACAAACTCCATCTTCACTGTGCATCAGATGTGACCTCTACACTCCCCAGGCATGTCTCACAAGTATGAGGTTGACAGGAAATTAAAGTTAAGCTAACATACAAATCATCATGCTTTCCCAAGCATGTCTCTCTTATGCAAGCTGAAACACAATTTGCTGCAGTGGTGAGCACAGCTAATCAGCAGCCTGGGAATATTTAATAGGCTAAATCCCAATTGGTTGTTGCTCTTTGATTGGATTCTTCCTAACCAAGGGGCTACAGCATACTGGAGCCCTACATGCAGTTTCAATAAATACATTTATTAGACTGATTATACTGAGGGCCTTTGAAACCACCAATTGCTTTGCCTAGGGATCTGTAACCATAATTGCAATAGCAGCAATTCACATTTTCTGAAGGAACAAGGCCAAATTCCTCTCTAGTTTAATTCTCTTAACTCAGTAAATTTTAAGCTTTAAGGGTGACGCTGACCCTAAGTGTTTAAAGTGAAGTAATGCAGTTAAGACAAAAGGTTTTTATAACACATTAATATATAATGTGCAAAACAAGAGGCAGAGAGGACCTCTGCAAGTGAGCAGCTGCTAAAATAATCCATTGCCAGGATGCACAGCTGAGCACTTCCAAGAAGCTAGATGGATAAAGCAACCCTAAAACAAGGTGTGCAGGACCAAGTGATCCAAAAAGAAAATATTCATACAGGGGGAACTTTATCAACTGGCACGACAAAATATCGCAAATATCTCAAATCCAAACCAGACCCTTGGGAAGCTCAGCTGCCAGTCTGGGCCGGAGCTCTGTGAATTGGCTCACACAGTGGGCAGAGGAGTGGTAGCCCATGTCCAGCTGTGCATATATGTATATATCTGTATCTATATCCCCTTCTGTTCCATAAAATGGCCAAAAGCAGCGCTCGGTTCCCGGGATCCTGCCACACAGCACATTTATACGCACTCACATATGCCCAGGGCTTCCCTTGAGTGGGAGTGTAAGTGTGAGCAAGCACTAGAGGAGGACAAAGCAAGCTAGGACACACTGCTCTGTCATGTGCTGGCTCTTCAAACCACCCTTTCCCATCCTTGCTGCAGGGTCAGGCAGCTCCACACCAAGCCCTGTGAGCTGGGGCAGCAGCCTGGTCCTTACCAACCCAACCAACCTGGCATGTCAGCTGCCAGTGTGGAAATAAAGTGAAACGTGCTGTCCCACACACACCCTTCTTGTTTAACAACAACCCTTAACACTAGACTTTGGATAAGGAGAATTTATAGGAGAAGCAAGCTTCTTTCAAGGGAGACATGGAAGTGTGGGGCCTTCAGAAGAGCTTGGTAAGAAATCACATGGCTTTTCTTTGCCCAGTTTATCCATTACAAGAGAAAATTGGCATAACTCTAATTCTAAATGATAGATAACTTGGAAGGTACAAATAAAAGCAATATTCCTTTCAGATAAGAGGAAAAAAGCAGGAGATCAAATCAACACATGCACAAACATACACAAAGTCAAGCCCTCCATTTGCTGTAGAGGACAGTGAGCACAGTTGCCTGGGTGAAGATACGTGTCAGTAAGTTAGCTAACACCAGTTATTGCAAAAGGAAAAGTCAAGGCAGCACAGACCTTCCCAAAACATTTAAGACCTCATAAACAATGCAGAATGGACAGAGAGTATATTGGTTACTTGCCTATAGATGTCCATACATGCGACTATACATTGGTTATTGCGACAGTTATCAAGCAATTTGTTCCACATATTTGGTTAACAATGAATGACATGCCAGAAACTCCTTTTAGTCTAACAGGGATGAGTCTAACGGACGAATTACAGTGGGCCGAGTAGGTGAAGGGGGTGGTCTTCGACTGGAGAGAAAGAGAGAAGAAACAATAAGCACAAACACTGAGAACAAAGCTGGCACCATGTTACAGGAACATGCACATGCTCGTACACACGACCATCTTATTTCCACGTACACTGAAGCACAATGTCCACAAGCATCCACAGTAAGAAAGGAGGCAACGGGTTTGCCAGGTGTCTACCATGCCTTAGCTCCCTCACCCACCAGACCAGACAGCTCTTCTTGCTGATCCACAGCCTGGGCGTTCTCCAAACATAGTTACCTTCTTGTGCCACGGAAACCATCCAGGGAGGATCATTATTCCCATTTTCTTAGGAGTCAGTCCCAGCCTGGACAGCCACACAACAGACTTACAGGAACGTTTCAGAGCAGAAAACAGGACTGAGGAAAACAGCCTGCAGTGACTTCAGCTGCTGTTTGCAGAAGCAGGAAAACCTGCAGCTTCTTGCACAGTTGGGCCAACTGGAGTCACGTCAATGTGCCTGAATTTGAGGCACAAACTTCAAGCTATATATCAATGGCCAGTTATGAAAATGCCAGTTTTGGCTGGGGCTGCTGGACTCATTCATTTACCACTAATGCATTCCTCTATCAACTTCAGGGCTAAGGAGTCACAGATTTTTTGGGAAGGCTTATGTGTCTTTTTTCCATTTTCCTGTGTACTGCAAACACCTACATTTTAATTCAGACTGTGTCATCATTTGGTAAGAGTCCACAGTGCAAGAGTTGGCAGCAGTATGATCTCCAAGCGCATCCCACCTGGAGTCCAGGCTGAGACCTATCCCTCCTTCCGTCCCTCCCTTATCCAAGGATGACACACCAACTCTGCTTGAGTGGCAGACAGAGTCTCTCCAGTAGCTACTCAACACTTTACCTTTTTGTGTGCAGGAACACTGTTCATATCAGTGCTGTGTGGAGGCAACTCCATCAGTATAGTCACAAAGAGTATTTTGTTAATGCTCCATTCCACCTGGGATAAAACACCCCACCACTGAGCAAGGCCTATGCAGAGTCTGAGCTGACAATACCTGTTTGGCCTTCAGCGCCTGCACCACTCACACAGTTCTGCTGGCACTGCAATCTGTATGTATAAATTGCCCAAAGAGACTGTTCCTTAGCCAGCTATCCAGCAGCGTTCCGTTGCTGCAGTTATCCCAATCCATCTCTTACAGTGCTTTTGCTCCCCATTTTCTTTAGTGGGAAGCACCAACTTTATTCTTAACCCCAGCCCAAGTCACCATGAGAGCTCACAGCTGAACCCAGGCTCTCAACAAGGTCAGGAGCCCATGGCTCTTCAGTTCCCATCAGCTTCAGCAGAGCTCATTAATGGCTCACACAAACTGTGCAGCCCCTTCTAACCTGTCCTCCACCTGTGAAAGCAGGGACAGGTCTGGCTCTGAGGAATATTACAAAGGAAACGTCTCATTCTTTTAAAAGCTAAACTGAAGATTAAAAGAATGTAATGTGTTAATCTTCTCTGAACTGGAACAAAATATAGGAGACAAACTTATACTTGACAAAAAAAGTCTCACTCGGCTCAAAGTGTGTCTTGAGCCACAATATTCTCTTTTGGTGAAGAAATGAGAATTTTAATCCCTAACATACAACAAATACAAAATACGCCAACTGAAGCATTCAAGTAAATCAACAAGCTAAAAAAAAGGCAAAATATAATTTCTTCATGGTGTATTTTTCTTACAGGAAAAATGTTACTGTGTTAACCATTGTTTCTTGTGTTGCTCCAGTGTAGGTCTTCTGGACCCATTTCCAAAATTTGTAGTTTCATAAAGAACCACTTCTAAGGCTCTGCATTTCTGCTGGGTTGCATTAAATTATTCCTTTGTTGAAATGCCTCACATTGCATTGTTTAGAGCTTACTGAAAACATCGTATCATGTGTATACAATTTACAAACAAGGGAAAATGCATACAGCTGTCTTCATATCAAATTTAAAAGATGCAAGCCCAAACATGCATTTTAATACCAGGTTGAATGCAGCACACTGGATTCAAATAATGTAATTTAGCCAAATTACTATTTAACACAGCAGGATCAGAAACTGGAGAGCACAGTGGGAGGATTTCCTGGACATAATCAGTCAAACCAAACCTGAACCAAAATCAGGTCTGAGCCCCATTTCCTCCCTGAACTAGAGTTGGTATTGCACTCCGCCCACTGTTTTGAACTTTCATTCAAGCCCAGTGCAGACCTAAATAGAAAAATTCCCCATCAGCTCTCCTTCCCAATCCAGAGTACCACCCACTACAAGGAGAAGATGACATCCCCACAGGGACCCTCTGTTCTCCCCACAGCACTGCCCGACAGGCAGGTCTGCTCAGCCAGGGGACCCTTCAGAGCCAGCCACGCTCTCTCCCAACACTTCCACTATGGATACCTCCCAGTGGAGACACATATGTATCTGGGATGCTCTGCATACAAACGCTTGCATGTGTCTTCCCACTGGGCATGGATGTCCATGAGGAATGGGCAGACCTCTCCTTAGCTCCAGCCCCTCAAGGGTGCTGCCTGCCTCCCAGCTCCTTAACCCACCACACTGTGACTAGAGGAGTGGGACCTCCACCTGGAGATCACAGGTGCCTTTCAGAGGAATAGCAGATGTTTGGAAAGGCAGCACTTGGGAGAAGACCTGCAAAAGCACCATTCCCTCCAGCCCTGCTGCTGACAGTCTCCTGGGCTATGTGCAGTTCCCTGTGCTGGTACTGCAGTAAGGGGGACCGTGCTCTCGAGTCCCTGGGCAGAACACAGAGTGGAGCTCTCTTGCATCATCTCACCTTCCCTGGCCACTGGCACACAGGATCAACTGGCATGAGCTGAAGCTCAAGTCCAAGTGAAGGAAAGAACAAGCCCAGAAGTTACAGAATATTCTGAGTGGGAAGGGACCCACAAGGATCATTGAGCCCAACTCTTAAGTGAATGGCCTGTCTCTAGATTTCCCCGTCAGTGTGTCAGGTCATTCTGTGACCGTTTCTACACTGGGAGTAGGATTCACACCTTTTTTTTTTGCCCCTAATAGGAATCTCAATCCCAAAGACAGGAGGAGATGCCAACCTGCACATCTCTTGCCTCTGCCCCGCTCCTTTACACCCTGAGCAGTGGCTGGGAGTGGACGTGCTCCACGGGATGCAGAGATGCAGGATTGGGCCACCTTGAGATAACAGAGCCAGCAACCAGCTTCTGGGCGCCTACAGAAAGTGCAGCTCTGAGTGAAGCTCTGAGTGGTTTCGGCACCATCGCTTCCCGAGCAAAGGGTACCAAAGGAGCGCTGCCAGAGCCTCCCAGCGCGGAGAACGGGAACTACAGAGCGGCAGGGGGAGCTCCAGCCTGCCCGGGGACCGAGCGAGGGAAAACCGCGGAAAAACAACCGCCCCCGGATCCCTGCTCCGCGCTAGCTGCCATCCCAGTGAGTAAATATGTGACTAAGCCCAGTTCAATGTTTAGTCTGAGGCCAGCACACGATAGCGGTGCAGACGGCCCGGGCCGCGGTTCCTCCGTGTTATCGGAGCGACTCCGACGGCCCGGGAAGAGCTCCCGGTGCGGAGCTGTTTGTTCCCAGGCCCCGAAAGGCGGCTCCCGCTTCATAGAAAGTTCATCATAAAAATGTCCCTGCTGCGGGAATTCCGATTTGGTTATTGTCTACAGCATTTCAGCGGGGTTTTCGAGTTCTGGGACCTAGCCCCGCTGCCTGGCCCCTTTAACTCAGCCTTCTTGTCTTGGGGGGAATTGAGGTTGTTGGTGTTTTGGTTTGCTTTTTTGGGGGGCGGGGAGAAAAAAAAAAGGGAAACAGCGTTTCTAAAAGTTAGTGCTAAAGGGGCAGGGGATCATAGGTCCCCCCGGGGTTGAGTGAACGAATCTGCAAAAAGAATCAGTACTTCTAACTAGCACACATTAAGCAGACGTAAAGAATTTACCAATGAAAATTGTGGACTAAGTATGTATTTAATAACTCCCTGATGTTGCTGCAGAGACTCCTCCTTTGAAGAGCTCAGTGGGGTTCTGAATGGAGGGTAGCTCTCACCCCCATGCAAAAACTTTTTTAAAAAAGGAAAAGTTTTACATTTATTTTTAACCTAAGCAGCACACCCAGTGTTTCCAGTTTTAAAAGAACTCCTAAAAGCTTTAGCTAGGCAAACGCAGAGCAAAAGAAACTAAATAAAGCAAGTCTAGACTTAAAATTCGATCAGAAACATATGGGAGTTCTTCAAGCATTTGCTTTTTGAGAAGTGCTATCGCTCCCCACACAGAGTCCACAAAATATGCTTTGAGTAAAGCATGGCTGTAATTACCCGCTCAGAGAAGATGGCTTCTCACAGCACAGCCAGCGCACTGCTAAATAAAAGGCTTTCATTTCCACTTACATTTTACATTCTTGTTTGCTTGTGACCACCAGAGAACACTTGTGGAAGGCATGCACATAACTATATTTTACGATACATCCTATAGATCTGAAATTGTGAACAGAAGTCCATTATTCTCTCCCTTTTCCATGGTCCTGGTTTCCCTATAACGCAGCTCTCTCGGAGCACCCTGATACGTTACACTGTCTTTGCAGAATTTAAGAAGAAAATACTTACACAAAATTTCTAAGCGGCTTTAAGACTGACTGCAGGCAAATTTTATTTTAGGTGACAGTACAAATCTGGATGTGAGGTATACAGTAAGGGGATAAAAGAGTGACTTACTTTAGGTGAGGAATAAATCTAGTTTCCTGTTTGGGTGATTATTTAGAGAGACTAAGTAGCTTGGTCTTGGGATACTTATAATGCCTTGACTGATTTTATATTCATACTGTTTCTCAGGTTTTCTCTGTTTCAGCAAGATCCTGAGAGAGCCACACCCCCTGCTTTTCCTGGTTGTTACATCAACCTAACTTTTATACTGTACCTCTCAACCTCCATCAGCCTTTGGATTTGGAAGAAAATCCAAACCAGAAGTGAAACAACTCTAGCCACCATGGTTGAAGAGAGGCAAGACATTGTTTGTAGA